GCATATAGTAAGGCTCTAGGATTCCAGAGGTTGATGAAAAATACTTCCAACTGTAAAATATTCTTCTATAGTAAAAGATGAAATGTTGCAAGTGCAAGACAAAGGAAAAAAATGTGAACCCCCAACAGGATTCAAACCCATGACTGCATGACCTCCCAGATATTATTTGGGCTCTCCCACAAATTATGCCAGCATATTGCTCACTGAAGCATTATTTCTAACCGTACCACAAGGTATTTTAATAATAAATGTTGTACTTCCAGAATTCCTGAAATTAAAGGAAGAAAACAATGCTGATTTCTTTAAGATGGTGCAGACCCCAGAACTGGCTTGTGAACTCACTCTTCAGGTATAGATAGATCTCACAGTGTTCCAGATAAGTGACAGGCCTCAGATCAAAAACCCGACAAGGTCAGCTACATGACCTGACAAATTAATTATAGAACATTGATGATTTGGTGGGAACAGTGGGAATTGACCTGTTGGAATTCCTTATTGACACCCTGCATTGAAAAATTATCTGGAACCCTGTCTCACATAGATAATTTTTTAACAACTTGTGAAGTCAATTGATTTTATATCCCTTTGGATAATGTTGAATTCTTATTCTTGGTTTTAACTCACATGATCAACAGCTGTGTTTTCTCACTGAAACAAAGCAAAGATTTACGTAAAAATAGAGTTCAATTCCCAGAGGTTAAATTTTGGGCTCCAACATGGCCGCTGTGACGTCAGGTGAAAACCAAGCATACTCTATAAACAATTTCTAACCTTTCAGTGTCAAGACTAGTATGCTTAATTATTATAAGGTACTTCTGTTCCCAAATTACATGCTCAGTTTTATTTTCTTTTTTTCAGCCTATAAGAAGATTTCCTCTAGATGCAGCTATCATATTCTCAGATATCCTTGTTATTCCTCAGGTAAATACTAATAATCATAAAATAATTATGATACCAATTATTATTGAATAATTATTATTCATGATAAACTATGGCAAAAATGTTGTTTATGACAGAGTTTCTTCCTAAGAGTGTGAGCAATGTGCATGCTTTTAACTCAGCTTTTGAGAAGGAGGCTCTGCATTATTTTAATGTTATTAAATTGAGGTAGATTCATCATAATTCTTGTACATGTAAGTAAAAGTAGGTAGGTGAAGTCTGTATACGAACCAAGTGGCCCATCAGGCAAGGGCTTAGCTCTGGTTTCAGTAGCATGAAGTAACAAGGAGTATTTCTACTCCCCCCTGAATGAAATGCTGGTCCATTGCAAAAATTACCCCCAGCATTAAATTTGCTGGTACATGTACCCATTTATACACTTGGGTGGAGTGACATACTACGAGAGTAAAGTGTCTTGCCCAAGAACACATCACAATGGCCCTGGGCTGGGCTCGAACCCGGACCACTTGATCTGGAGTCATGAGCATACTAACCATGAGGTTCCTCCATTCCTCCAATTCTTGTATGCAGATGGTCATAATTTTCAGATGACCTCCCATGTTTTCAAATGCTTGTTATATTCATTGCACCTGCCAATCACAGTGGCCAGTGACCAGCAAGTGATGACAACTCTTGACACTCTAAATGTCTTTTGTCTGTCGGCCTGTCATCCCAGTTGTAATGGTCGCAATTTATATATCTTATTAGATGTTTTGGTGTGTAGTATTGCTGTATATTTTTATGAGCTATGCCGTATTTTGACGAGCCCGTAGGGCGAGTCAAAATACAAACAACAAGTAAAAATATAAAGCGATACTACACACCAAAACATCTAATAAGAGATTTACTATCCAACTGTTGTAGTCAATAAATTTATCAATGAAGGAGGGAGAGTGCGACAGTTTCCGTGTGCATGCTAGCAAACAGGTTTTCTACTGTGCAAATAACTGTACAATATTGCTGTATATTTGTACTGTTATTTGGACGGTATTCACTGCAGTTGGATAATAAAAAGAAATACTAACAGCGTTCATTTTTTGTTCCAACCAGGCTCTTGGTATGACTGTCCTCATGATCCCCGGAAAGGTTTGCACACATCAATTACTCACACTTCCATAATATATCAAACATGAGAGACAGTGTTTCATTGGGATATCCAAACACCTAGAAGAGAGTTGAATTTGACGAAATTCGAGGTGTTTGGATAGCCGATGAAACACTGTCTTGAGTGTTTGATATATCTTCTCAATTGAAACAAACACTAAGGAGTAAATGGAGGAGTAAAATTGTCAGAATTTATGCTAATTAAGACCAGGTATCCAAACCTCCTTCACGGTTGTGATTTTCTTTGTTTGTACCTGATGAATTATTAATGAGTTTGAGAATTTCATTTCTCTGACTACTGATGAGTGTGATACAAAATTGATTTTTAAATGTTGACAATTGATGGATAGAAAGTAATTTGATGTTTTATTTCTCTCCATTTTTAGGGTCCAGTGTTTCCAGAGCCCCTTCGAGAACCAAGTGACATTGAGGTCATGATCACTGAGTTACTGACCATTGTCTTTCAGTCAACCTATTTACCAATTTTGTTCACAAAATTGTATTTGTAGCTTATTAATTATTTTTGTCCCCACAGAAACTTAAACAAGAAGTAGATTTAGAGAAGTCATTGGGATATGTTTTCCGTGCAATAACTCTGACAAGACACAAGCTGGAGGGACGAGTACCTCTCATTGGTTTTTCAGGAGCTCCAGTAAGGATAGAGAAAATGCTATCTTTTTATCCTTTACTTCAGAATTAAAAGATATTGGAAAATAAACAGACAGTACTTCTTGAAAGCTTCTATTTTAATGGTAACGTATTAGGGTTTTATCCACAGTTAAAAGCATAACTATAAAATGTTTGAGCAAGCAACCGTAACGATAATCCTGCTGGTATTATGTTGGATCAGTAGTGATCTAATTGGCTTCACACATAAAATGAAGAATATAAAAGCAGAAACCTACATAATGTAGGATGATTTTTTTGAAGGTGTACTATATTTGGCTGTCCAAACCAGCCTTCTTCAGGTACAATGAGAATTTTACATTGGGACGTGTTTTTATGTAGCATATTTGCGTAATACCGGAAATAATTATGTAAAACTAATTTACAGTGTGAATTAAAGATAAGCATTTGGTAAAATAAAATAATGAAATAACATAATAAAAGGAAACAATTAATATGTTTCTTCGTGGATGTTCAGACCATCAGGATCAATTGTTCTGTGCCTTTTTGATTATTGCATGTTGTTAGCATTGGGGTTAGGAGAGGACAGGAAATCTTCTGCGGCTGTAGAAGGTTTAGTTTTAGCATAACAACTAACCTGGCATTTTGACCTGGAAACTGGTACATATAAGGGACATTTGACAAACACTCAACTTCATCTCACCCATTAATGTGTAGTCCCAGAAAATAACCATACCTTCCCCACTGAAGGAATTTTTTCTAGGAACCCCCCCCTCCCCCAACCCCTCTGGAAGTTCTAATTAAGCGTCATACATTTCTTTACATTTTTTGGTCTAACAGAAACCCCCTACCCCCAGGAAATTTCAATTCCTTCTGTGAGGGAAGTATGGATATTTTTGGAAATGTACAATATGTAAAAAAATGCTTGGTCAATCATAGTAACCTGTGTATATTCTACTTAGCGGATAGGAACACTCTGAGAGTGACTTGCCTTGCCCAAAAGACCAGTTAGTGACACTGACCCACATTTGAACCCACACTGCTCTATTCAGATTTCAAAGTACCTCCTAAGAGTGTATTTGCACAATGTCATTATTTGACCACAGTGTTTCAGCTACCAGAATTCATTTTGTTTTTGCCTTATTGGTTAACTGTTGAAACCATACTGAAATTTAAATAACAACTGTCCAAACTAGAGGAGTTGTTGTCAAATGATGCCTCAAAAATATCA